TATTTAACCCTTACAATCTAACAGAGTAGATACTATTTGACACTATTATCACCATTCCGTGACTGAGAGAACTAAGACTTGGAGGGAAACAATGACTCACCCAAGGTAAAAAGACAGTTGAGTGACAGAGCTTTGATTTGAACCTAGGTTTAACTCCAAAGTCTGCACGCCATGTGGTAACTAGACTCCCAAGATGGCTCCCCAGTGCACACCCCTTCCTGCCCTCATGTAGTCTACTCTCACTCCTAAACTATGATGGCCCTGGGAATCCAACAGAACACAACATAAGTGATACTGTGTGATTTCAGAGGCAAAGTCATAGAAAGTCTTGTACCTTCCGTCTGAGTCTTTTGGAATGTTCATTCTGGGGAAGCTAGTTACCATGTAATAAGTCTACCCAGGACTGCCATGTTATAAGGAAGTCCCAGACAGCCATAGACAGAGATGCCTATCAGCCCCTAGCAGTTCCAGCTATCCTGACTAAAGTACCAGACACCTGAGTAAAAAATGTTTTCTTGGATGTTCAGCTCAATCAACCCATTAGAATGATGCCAGCTTCAGGCATCATACAACTCTTATGAGACTCCCCTCACCCCACTGAGAACTGCCTGAGCCCAGCCAAACCACAAAAACATGACAGAGTAATTTGTTTTAAACTACTAAGTTTTAGGATGGCTTGTTATGAAACAGATAATGAGAAATACATTCTAATCCACTTAATAAAAATAAAGCAATACATATTTTGGTATTTACTCCTTTTCTTCTGGTAACCTTGCTCACTAAGACTATAATTCAGTGGGCATACTACATCAGTTGGGGCAACAGGTTCTATGATACACCTAGAATGTGCTGCTATGCAATAATCCCACCCAATTATCATCTTAATAAAAACATTCTGGTTAACTAAAGATCTCTGACATAATGCCAATTTCCCAATTATGTTTACAGATAACAAAAAAAACAGATCTTGAGCAAAGAAATCCCCACATCTTCAAAGTTCTGAGTTCAGAAGTCACTGGCATACTTCTTGTGGCTTTCCCATTCCACTCAGGAATAATACACTCAACTCAGGGTGAGTCTCAGAAAGTAAACTATGGAAACTAACAGGAAAAAAAAGTTTTATTCCATATGCATTCAACCAACATTCTCATGTAATGGTTTAGAATCAAACACTACTTGCAAATATTTACTTAAAAAACAAATGGTATTTCCTCACTGAGATGAATTAGGTATAAACTGTTCGCAATGTAAAATTCAAGCACCACTACTATAAACACCCCAAGAATGTTTTAAGATTTAATTCAATTTAAGTATTTATTCAAGATTTTATTGTGTTGGATAATTTGAGTGCTATTCTTACCTGGATATCTACCGTGTTGTTTATAAAATCTATCAACAGCCCGTAACATCAAGTATAATACTATCTCATTATCTGGATTGTCCATGCTGGAAACTGAAAGGAAAACAATTTTCAGTATAATTTGGGTAATTCATGACATAAATACAATGAAGGACTAAGGACTGAATTTACTATATATTCAAGTTTCAGGATACAAAGAAATATTTTCAATAATAAAATAGAAAATGGTAAATAACAGTAAAATAAAGGGAGAAACACCTAAGAAGAAACCCAGGGTCCTATGGACTATTACTTATAGCCATATAATCTCTACTAGAGAAATAACATGCTGACTTTAGTTCTTATATGTATCACACAACTTACTCAGTGACCTAATATGATTTTGTATATATATTTTTACGTTTTGAAATTATTACTACTTCTTAGTTTACAGAATAAAATTTAGAGGATAAATATTTGTTATCTTTTTTATCACCATATACCAATACTATTATACACAAAATATTTATATCTTTAAAATTGATAATCTAGCATCAAAAGCTACTATACTTACTAATTTCATCCTTGTTAATTGTATCTAAGCCATATTCTTCAGCTAAGGATCGACATCTTACCACTTGAAGAAATGCAGAATTGCTGCCTGAACACACGAAGGACATTATGGAAGTAAAGGGTTGAGACACATGAATATTCCAAGTCACAGGTCACTTTAACAGGAAGTTTTGTGTATACTTTTTACAGACATGGAAATGTAAAGAAATGCCTTTCTATTTGGCTCTAATGGTTAGCAGAGAAAGCACTAGAACACAAGTCATCTTAATTCATGTCTAGGCATTACAACCAGTTTAACACTGAGTAAGTAGGTGATAGTACCTCCCTGAGCCTCAGTTTTCATTTGTAAAATGGGTATAAAATTGTTCATTTTTGAGATTGTTCTTGGATCAAATGTGTAACTGTGTGAAGTCCATACCTAGCACAATGCCTGGCAGAGCTCAGTGAATAGTTTTATCATTATTATGGATAAGTAGTCCTAAAGGAGAGTGTTACATGTATTGTGCTTTCAGTATATGTGCGGCTTTAAGTAAATAAACATTGTATTATGAAAATTTCAATCATCTTGGAGACTGTTGAGAATTAGGCTTGGGGTTGATTAATGATTGTGCTTTGAGTCCCCTATACAGAATTTTATTGTTGTTAACAACCATTTGATCAATAAATATGAGAGATGCCCTCTCAAAGAAAAAAAAAAATTTCAATCATCACCCAAGTAGAGAGAACAAAATAACAAACCCTCAAATACCTAACATCCAGCTTTTAATCTATTATCTTATAATCTAGTAGAACAAACACCACAGCAGAAACAAGGTGCAAGATTAGTAGTGGACAAAACATTAAAACTAAGCTGAGCAAACATTGTGGAAGAGTCATGACATATAGAACTTGGATACGTATTTTTTAAGGAGGAGGGAACGTACAAAATACAGACTTTTGCAAAAACTATAGGCAGTGACTACAGGGAAAAATCTTCAGACAGCATGTAAAACGGATTTTATTATTCTTAAGATAACACTTAAATAAAAGACAATGCTGCTTTGGACCAATTGAGAAGTTACCAAGAAGACTCCAGGAGTCTAGCTATTCTGAAACTAGATGGCAAAATTCTTAATTCCATTACAGTCATTTAACACAGATCAAAATAAGTATTTAAATTAATACTTTCAATGTACATGTGATTTAAGACTTCATACCCAAAGTCTTCAGATAAAACTTTCCCAAATTATTTAAAATTAATGAGCCAAATATAATTCTGTATTAATGACAATTTTCAATTAATTGACCTTCATATCTTTTTAGCATTGCCATAAATAGATATGCTCTCTCTCTGACTCAGTCTTAAAATATTCTCTCCATTTATTATGAGAAAAAACCTTACCCAAAAATTGTATCTATACTCCTGAAACCATGCAACTGTTTAACATTCTGGGGAACACTTCCTGTGGCATATTTCTATCAAGCAAAATAAGCAAATTAATTCAAGGGACTTACAGAGTAATTTTAATTCTTTCTCTGAAATGGACTCTGGTGCCTGTAAAGACATAAATGCAGGTTTTGCTCCCGTACAAAAGAGAAGATCAACAGAAGGAATAGCACAAAGCTCATCACTGTGAGATGGGGAGGCTTTCTCTAAGTGCTGGGAGAGCATTGAAAAAACACCTTGTTTCTTTATGACAGGTTCCTCCTTAGGCAGGCAAGTGAGAGATGTCTCTGAAGAAGCTCAGAGCCAGTGCCACACCCTCTATGTCTAAACCTTTTTGGCTGGAGTTATTCCACCAGGCTGATAGGAGCTGTGTTGTCCATCAAAAGCAGTGTACCCAGCACCTTACCTGGCCTATAGACTGCAGCAATTGGGCAACATAATTACCCACAGCAGCAGCATCTTTCTTTGCTTTCTCACGGTAACTGGAAAAGAACAACAAAAAGCTACTATTAACAAATTTTAAGCTTAGCAAAATTTAAATATCACCATGAAGCAAACAAAAAATTTTCTTTCCTTTACATGAAAAAATACTGGTCTGGTAATATGCAAAATATGAAAATGCCATGGAAATGCTATCAGCAGCATCAGTTAGTGGCAGGGAATCTTCCCAGTGTTGATGATGGACTCTTAGAAGCCACTAATACCTGGGGTCCCTCTATAGTTAATAGCACCCAACTTAAAAATTACCCACCTAGAGGGATCGGTGCTCCATGCTTCCCTGACAAATGACCTGACAAAACATGTTACTGAAGAACATGATTTATCTCCTTGAAGCCAAGTCCAAAGAAAGTTAAATACTTCAAAACTACCCATCTACAAATTCATGTAAAACTTTTCTTTAAGTCTGTTTACATTTCCACCCTCTCAAGCTAATTGGTGTTATGCTGACTACCTATGATGTGAGGTCAAACTTCTTTCTATCCTCATTTGGCTTTTCCCAAGTTTTAAGTAGTTGAACTTTTAGACTAGGACAACAAGGATTTGACAATGACAGTGATGAAGAGTGCAATCTGTCTAGAGAACACAGACCTGTGCGTAACATTATTTGGCCCTTGAGAAAACCAAGCCAGCGGCTGGATTCATCAGCACCATGCTGGAACTACATAAGGGTAATGTCCATTGAGACCTATCCTTGTGACAGTCTATCTGGGTTCAGACTAGTGATACCTGAACAGCATGTCTCTATCTATGGTCATCAACTCTTTAAATTATGAAACATGAATGATAAAAAATTCATCAAAACTAAAGACTTAAAAGTTTTAAGTTACAGATAAAAGAAAGTATAGGGCCATAGTTGAGAGTATGGAGCTAGGTTTCATGGGCTGAAACCCAGGTTTTCCCATTTACCAGCTGTCTGGTAAATAACCCTTAATAAGTTACCTTTTCTATGCTTCCATTTCCTCATATGTAAAACTGGGACAATAACAGTATCTCTCTGAGGGTTGTTGTGAACATTAAATTAGTTAATAGCTAGAAGAGTTCATAATACAGTTAAGTGCTCAAATGTAAAGTTCTATCAAGAAATATGAAAGAAAAAAATCTGCCCCCTAGAGGGTATATATGGGAACTCTCTGTATTTTCAATTTTGCTGTGAACCTAAAATTACTGTAAAAAATAAAATCAATTTTGAAAAAATCTGCCCCCTAAATTCTTTAGCTTACTTTTAAAGCAATGCAATTATAGGATTTTCATTTGATTTCTGATAGACTGAGAAAACATGTTCATCTCTAATTTAAACAGATTAGTTTTTCTGTTACAGTTTGAAAACACTGACTTACACATTTTGTAGTTTTATGTATTTGCTTGAATCCGCAATCATATCAGGAATTGTGCCTCGAACAGGTAAATTTCCTTGACCTTCTTTGGCCACAAATTCCTTTAAGGCACGAGCTAAAATCCAAAATGATGGAGTCTAAAAGAATAAGAAAAAAGCTAATTAATATTAAGTGGCATTTGAATTTGACCCAAAGGTTAAGGTAACACTGTTTTTGCTTTTGTTGTTTTTACCTGTTTGGTGATATTTATGCAGCAATCATCATTAAATATATCTTCAATACTGCTTGGGATCTAACAAAGAAAGGAACATGAAACATTTACTAAAAAATGTGGCCATCTTTATTTTCACTGCTGTATCTCCAAACAAGTTCTTTCAATTCTCAAGATGTAATCAAATACGAACTTCTGATTTGCTTAGACTTTCATTTAGAAATAGTACCAGATGCTAATTTGATGGGGAAAGGGAATGGAAGAAAATCCCTTCCTACCCAGTGTTAGCAGTGAAGACTGACCTATTCTTTCCATCATAAACGGGGTAAAGTAGGAACCAAAGTAAATCTTTCTTACATAGTTATAGCTGAAGATGTAACAAAGATTACAGGCATTACTATCAAGCTAGATTTGTAGTCCTTACTGTTTTTTTATCTTGTCAAAAATTTGAAACTCTAACATCCTATCAGTGACTGCTGAAAGCTAGGTAAATTACTTTTAATGCTAGTAAGATCACCATACATTAACAAAAATGACAGAAATTATAGGCTTTGATTCTATAGTTGTGTTTTACTGATAACCTCCTAACTGGTCTCTCTGCCTCTGCTACCAGGCCCCTACAGTCTATTTTCCTCACAAAAGCCAGAATGATATTTTAGAAATATAAATCAGGTCACTCCACTCCCCTGCTCAAAATGCTTCAGTGGCTTGCAAGGCCCATATGATTTGGCCCATTCTGCCTCTCCAAATCTTAAGTCCCTCCCACCACTTTCCCCCTTGTTCACTTCACTTGAATCACACAGACTTTCTTACTGATCCTTGGACAAATACTAAGTTTCATCCTACTTCTCGGCCTTTGCACATGAGCTTGCTTCCTCAGCCTGAAAAGCTCTTCCACCAGATCTTTGCATGTCACTTCACTCAGGCTTAAACACATCTCGGAGAGTCTCTCGGGCCCCCTCCCAACCCCACACCTCCTCCTTCCCATCATGCTCTACCCCTTCTTCTGCTCTAATTTTGTTTTGTTCATACCACCAAGTACATTTATCTGTTTACTTAGTTCACTATCCCCCAACCATGAGAACTTTGTTTAATTGGAGTAAATATTACATTCAGTGAAATGCACAAATCTTAAATGTACAATTTGATGCATTTTGATAACTATACATGTATTTTTAATCATCACCCCAATTAAGACAGAAAAATTTCATCACCCCAGAAAACTGATTCACAAAATACACACGTTTAATCACTCAGCAACACTACCTCATTGTCTCCAAAAAGTTTGTAATAACACCTTAAGCACCTTCCTCACTTGAAAGGCAGCAATTTTTGCTGTTTTAAATTATAAGAAAGCTCTAACTTAAAATATTAGTTATGTTATTCCAAGTTTCCCCAAAACCTCACTGGCCAGACTTGAACAACAAAACAAAACAAAGGGCATCTAAATGGAGTTATTTTCCAAATAATCTTTAAGGAATACTATATCATTAAGAATATTTTTCATTATATCCAAATAATTATGGCTGAAAGCAAATGCAGGGTAAGATTTAACTTTTCAGGCAACACTATTTTGGACCAGCAAAATATCACCTTCATTATATAATTCCTACCCCCAAATTGTTACAATTCACAAATCATGTACTTCAAATAATTTATATAAGTCATTGCATCACTATTATATGCTGACGCACTGACATTCATTTTAACAAAGACAATACAGAATCTTATTAAAACAAGATTCAATCTACATTATAGATTTTAATTTCTAACCAGCAACATAATTTAGAAAATACTTTCTTAAATTTAAAATCAAACATTTCACATTTAAGGACTTCAGAAAACACTTTTCTTTTGTGAATCCCTTAGCCACTCTTTTAATACCTGCGTTGTATTTAGTGCCGTGTTCACATTTTTGATAGCTTCTTCAAAATTCTCTTCATCTTCTGGAGTCCCATTTTCATTCTTTAAAACTCCTATTAAAATAGAAATTGGTCAGCAGACAACAATCCTTTTCATCTCACTCTTCTCCCCCCAACATTATGGAAACAACCTTGTCAGATTCTGAAGGGAGGATCAGATATTGAAACCCAAGAAATATGGCTTATCATTAGTCATTCTTAAAACTATATAAGGAGTGGCTTCTAAACCTCCCCTGAGGAAAAATAAAAGCTCATGATGGTGTCATCTGACAAAGGCACTGACAGAAATCCAATAAACATCAGCCTCAAGCAATTTAAAACTATATAACAGTTTAGTCACATCCCATAATATTACCTTGTCTAATCAAATCTCTGAAGTCTTCTTTTTCTTTATACGTTTTAGGTATTCGTCCATTTGTCTAAATTGGTTGAAAATTTTAAGACTCTAATTATAAAAAATCAAAATATGGGAACTGAAGAGTTCAAAGTTTCCCCCACTCTCCCATCCACATGAGATTTCTTAGTAAATATAAACCTCAGTGAAATCAGAGGCTGACTTGATAGACAAAAGAACTCTACAATCATTCCCACTGCCTGTTTCAGAATGACATATTCAAATTTCATTTTGTCATTAAAAATATCAGTAAAAGAGGAACTGTTAGATTTAAAATGAAAAGCACCTATCTGCCCTGTAACCACAGAAGAAAAAAAATTAATCTCCCACTCCCCTCCAATAAATTGAAAATAGTTACATATGTAATTTCTTTTTTTAAAAAAGGACGTACTTCACTATGCCACTGTGCTAAATACTTAGCTACAATCACGATCCATGGCGTGTGGCTATGGTCCTAAACATGAGAAAAATCAAAGAAAATGTCAGCATTAATTAACATTAACTAATTAATATTTATCCTTCACTACACCTTCTCATTTTCAACAAATTCAACAATATTTATGATCATCTCTCAGAATACGTACAATAATGAATGAAGGAAAATGAACTGGGTTAATAAAAGCTTTACAAATTTTTTTAGGGGTAGTGTACAATTTAATCCTAATATGGCAAGTTTGTACTACAATTGTCCCCATTTTACCAAGAAACAGTCTCAGAGATAGCCACCCAAAAATAAAGCATGAGTATCTTGATTTCAAATCCCAGTCCTAGACTAAGGAAAGAGCATCTTCTCTGGGTTTTCCAATGAACCAAATACCTGCATTAATTAATATGTAAGAAAAAATACATATATTCCTTAAACTATATGGTCTCATAAGTATCACTATCTCTAATGAAATATGCAGTTGTTTGGTAACTCAAACACT